TTGTTTATTTCGATTTGAAAGCTAATATTTTTTAAAATTTTTATAATATCTTTTCTAATTTTATCGAGCTGTGGATCAGATTTTTTACGCATTACTATTTAACCATCGTTGCAATAAAGGCCTAAATGTTGTTTTTATTTGTTTTTTATAATTTTATTTAATGAAACTTTTAACTTGTATAATGTTTATATTTAAAATTATTTCCTTGTTTCAATTTTTCCATTAAGATTAAAATTAAAATATTTACCGTATTAAGCACCCTATATTTTTTAACTGTTTAAAATTAAGTAACATTAAAAATAAGACTACTCTTAGAGGCAAGTAACATTTTTGATGAAAAAAGAATTATTTTGTTGCCCAAAACTGGATAGCAACTCTTTGGGCACCACAATATTACTAAACTTCTAGAAATCCATACATAATTGATTACTGAAAATAAAATTACATTGTGTTCGTTAAGAACTTTGTATTTTTTACCTAGGTTTAACTAAAAACCTTCATTGCCCTAAAGGATAATGATTTTTTGATTTAATTTACACAGCCTGTGTCACAATGTTTGAAAAAAAGGTAAGACATAAATTTCGGCATTCCGGTCTAAAATATTGTAATTCCGACCGGAATGGAATTCCGGTTTTATAATAACCCTGAAAAGTCTTAATAATACATTATATTTTATATGTCCCCCTGGAATAAAAATTTGCACGGAAAAGGAGTTAATTAATTAAATAATAGGCTAATTAATTGTGTATTTTTCTGCCATATGCCTTCAATGTTTCTGCCTAAAAAAAATCACCTTAAAATAAGAGCAAACCTTGACGTGGTTCATTTGTTTTAAACAATTACCTTCCATAGAGATACTCTTCAACCTATATACTGTAGAGATATAACATCAAAAAAAAATATGTGGGAGTGGGTGGGGCGGTGTTTAAATTATTGTAAGTTTTGGAGTTTTTTAACATCATTTATAAGATTAAAGAATCGTTTCTTTGAATCGTTTTTTATGCAAATTAAGAGTTCAAATCTAAAACGAAAAATTATATCTATTGCTCTTTTACTTTTTATTGGAGAGTTTATTCGTAACGACTTTGGAATAAATTTATGTTTCTCGCATTTTCGAAAGAAAATGTATTGGTTTTTCGATTTAGTAACGGATTTTTTTAATGATTGTAATTGTTCAGTGCTTTTGTAGATTTCAGCTCCGTATTTAGCTGTAATTAGATATTTGAAAGATGAAAAAACAAGAACATTAAAAGTAGAAAATAAAAAGTTTGAAAGAAAAATTAGAGAGGCACTAGAAATACAAAACAACATGTGCTCTGCACGAAACGGCGGAATTAATCTTGATGAAGGCCAATATGTAAAAACTATGTTTTGGACGCCATTTTTAAAATTTAAAAATCAAAAGAAGCCATGCAACCGCTGACGTCAATAGTAACAATTTTATATAAACTATAACGATTAAAAATTATTGTAATATTTTACAAGCTGATGATGCTGGTATCCATAACCCAGCGAAAATTTCTAACAAAATAAAATTATTAGTATTGAGAGAAACTGTATTTCTTGATGTTTTAAAATAATATATAATATACTCTCATACAAGATGTCATCTTTCAAATATATATATATATATATATATATATATATATATATATATATATATATATATATATATATATATATATATATATATATATATATATATATATATATATATATATATATATATATATATATATATATATATATATATATATATATATATATATATATGATCTATGTATATATATATAATTTATATCATACTTTTGTTAAATAGTTATTTATTTTAATCAGGAATATTTATTTGAAAAAAAACTTGATTTAAATGTAGGCATTTTTAAAGAATAAAACAAAGTTTGTCATTCCACAAATTTTATCACCAACAAAGTTAAACTTATTGAGTCGCAACCAACAACTAACAAAGTTTGTTTTATTGTTTACTTGACAACAATTTATTAAAATTAATAAATAAGCCGTTAATAAATAAGCCTACCAGAATATCATCAACATCAGCCTCTATATTAGATAATATAATTACAACTGACGTTTTTAACTTATCTTTAAAAAAAGGTATTATTAAAAGTGACGTCTCTGATCACTTTCCCATTTTTTTCTCCATAAACATAAACATCAAAAAAATTCTACACCATAATAAACCTTTCATCAAACGTTTTTTTACGGAAGCGAATTGCTTTGCTTTTAAGGAACAATTATCTTTACTTCATTGGAAACATATAGATTCTAATGATGCTAATTTAGCTTATAATTCGTTTTTACAAACATTTTTTGAAATTTATGATATTAATTTTCCTAAACATAAAATACTAAAAAAAAATAAAGATTTCACGTCACCATGGATTACAAAAGATCTCAGAAAAAGTTCTAAAGTTAAGCAAAAGTTGTATATAAAGTATTTAAAAACGAGAACATTAGAAAGTAAAACAATTTATAAGAATTACGCTAAAATATTTGAAATGCAAAGAAAAAATTTAAAAAAAAGATACTACATTAATTTACTAGAAAAATATAAAGATAATTCAAAGCAAACATGGCAAGTTTTAAGAGAAATTACAGGCAGTAAGAAATTGAAAGCTAGCTCTTTACCTAAAGCTATTAAAATTGATAATAAAATATTTGATGATCCAGGAGTGGTAGCTAATAAAATGAATGAGTTCTTTACTTCAGTTGGACCAAATTTAGCAAAAAAAAATTCAAACATAAACAAAACAATAAACAGATGTAGTTTTCCTTTAATATCTTATCTAAATTCTTTTGAATTGTCTTTTGATGAATTTGATAGAGCTTTTAAAATGCTAAAGTTAAATAAAGCAGTCGGTCCTGATGATATCAATGGAAACATTGTCATTGATTCATATGATATCATAAAAAATATCCTTTTTAAAATATTTAAATGCTCAATTCAACAAGGAATTTTTCCTGATGAATTAAAAATAGCTAGAGTTTCACCAATATTTAAAGGTGGAGACTTACTTAATGTTAGTAATTACCGCCCAATATCTGTTCTCTCTGTTTTCTCAAAGATTATAGAGAGAATTCTTTATAATAAAATTTTTAATCATCTTTCTCAAAATAATATCCTATACAAAAATCAATATGGGTTTAAAAAAAATAACTCCACGGAACACGCTATACTCCAAATAACACAATATATTACTGAATCATTTGAAAGTTCCAAATTTACTTTAGGCATTTTTATTGACTTGTCTAAAGCCTTTGATACGATAGATCATAAAATTCTCTTTAAAAAACTTAAATATTATGGAATCTCTGACAATGTTTTGAAGCTTTTAAAAAGTTATTTAAATAATAGAAAGCAATTTGTTCACTATGACGTATCATCAAAATCAAACTTGTTAGATGTAACATGCGGAGTGCCTCAAGGGTCTGTCCTAGGATCTCTCCTATTTCTCATTTACATAAACGACCTTTATGAAGCATCTAATTTAATGACAATTATGTTTGCTGACGACACGAATTTTTTTCTATCTCATGGTAACATAATTACCCTATTTCAAAGTATGAACATAGAATTAATTAAAATTTCAGAATGGTTTAAATTAAATAAGCTTTCTCTTAACATTGAAAAAACAAAATGGTCTCTTTTTCATCCATACTACAAAAAACATCTTCTACCAAGTGAATTGCCTGCTCTTTTTATAGATGACATTCAAATTAAAAGAGTAACGGCTACAAATTTTTTAGGGGTTTTTATTGATGAAAATCTGACATGGAAAAAACATATTGAAAACTTATCCTCTAAAATTTCCAAAAGTATAGGAATACTATTTAAAATAAGAACCATGCTAAATAAACATACTTTAATTCAGCTTTACCACTCTTTTATTCATTGCCATCTAAACTATGCAAATGCGGCTTGGGGTAGTGTAAGGAAAACTAAATTAGAACCACTTTATCGCCAACAGAAACATGTTGCACGACTTATTAATTTTAAACATCGATTTTATCATGCTAAACCTCTTTTAAACGAAATGAATATTCTTAATATATATCAACTTAATATTTTTAATGTATTGTGTTTTATGTTTAAATGTAAGTCTCGCACATCTCCAATTTCTTTTCACAATTTATGTTCTTTAAAAGTTAAAAATAAATACAATTTGCGTAATGAAAATTTTATTCTTCAACCAGTTTTCAAAACTAATTTTGGTAAATTTTGTATTTCATTTAGAGGAGCATTTTTATGGAACAAAATAGTGTTAAAACTTTTTGATCTCTCTCTTGAATGGAACTTTTTCTTATTTAAAAGAAAATTAAAAGAAATTCTTTTCTCAGTTGAAAACATTCTGATATATTTTTAAGTTTGTTTTTTTTTTTTATTAATACTCTTAAGAAATATTTTATTGTAATTTATATATACGAAATCTTTTATCTTAACTTATATATATATATATATATATATATATGTATATGTATATGTGTGTGTGTGTATATGTGTATGTATATATGTGTATATGTATGTATGTATGTATATATATATATATATATATGTATATATGTATATATGGATATATGTATATATATATATGTATGTGTGTATGTATATTTATGTATGTACGTATATATGTATGTGTATTTGTGCGTATTATATGTATGTGTATATATATATATATTGATGTGTAAGTATATTTATTTACATGTTTTTATGTTTAAATATGTATAAATAATTATATTTGTATTTATGTGTGAATATTTGTCTATGAATTATTAAAGGATTATTTATTATTTAAAAACTGTTTAGGCGGTTCTCGATGACAAGATCTTATGATCTTCTGCGAGTATCCGCGTTCTTGTTGTAACGTTAACAAAATTGTAATTCTGACTATACGTATTTTATTCATTCTTATATTGTAAAACTTATTTTGAATAAATAAAAAGAACAAAAAAAAAAAAAAAAAAAAAAAAAAAAAAATACAATATTTTTTTGCAAATACAATAAGTTTTATTTTTAATGAGTTCTTTTTATTTTATTTTTCCTAAACTTTTTAAAACGTGGAACTCCATTTACTTGTTTTAATGGCATACAATCCTTATTGTTTTTTGACCAGTCATTTCTTTCACACGAAACATAATTTTCAAATTTGTCCTTTGTCCATATGCGATTATTTTTAACGCCTTTCTCAGTTGGACACCAATCATTAATGAAACTTCTATTATAGTTAAAACACGGTAAACAACACTTTGAAGTGGGTTTCCCGTAGCAACTTCTTTCGTAGTGGAATTGAATATCATTTTCAGTTATTAGTTGTGGGCAAAGTTTTCCGCAAAGTGTCTTGTTAAAGAACTTGTTTACTTCATTTACCAAATACTTCATTATTATTTTAGATGTATTTGACATTATAACATCAAATATTTTTTCCTTGACATAATAAAGTTTACTTGTGTACACTTTTCCTCCATAAGGATCTTCAAAAGTTAGTGTTGAGCTTTCCATAATTCGATTAAAAAAGTAGGGGTATGAATCTTTTCCGTACAAATTTTGATAGCGTTTTCGATGCATTGTCTTTGCTGCTTGAATTACTTCATCCCTAATGTCATGAAGTAATTGAAAGTTATCATCCGTAATTTGTTTTTCTTTTTTAAGCTGATAATAGAATGCTGTAAAATAAGTAACGTAACTAACTATTGCACTGGAAATCATTATGGGGGAAAACTCAAATAGATCCCAATAAGTCTGCGGAAAAAACAACTTTTTTTTATTCAATACTCTACTATAAAATATTTCCTTTGTTATATTATTTTGTCTTGCGATGGTAGTGTATTCATCCCAATAAACTTGCAAATCAAAATAATGTTTACTTGAAATTTTGTTTTCAATTTCAAAACGGACTTGTTCTTTAATTGCTGTCCACACATTTTCATTTTTTGTAAAATGCTCTATCCAGTCAGAAAGTACAGAAACAAAGTCTCCTACTCCTGCTAAGGTGGCTGTGGTTTTTATAATTGTTGTCAAAAGGCTTTTAAAATATTCAACTTTTTCATTCCATTCATTTGATTCATTTGATGTTGATTGAACATTTCTTTTCTTTATATCCAACATATTAACATAATGCATTTGAGTGTAAAACGATTCATTAAAAGTATTTATAGACTTTTCTAGTTTCTTTTCACTGTTTTTCATAAATTCCACACAGGTAGCCATAATAATCGTAATATTAGTAAAAATTGCAAACGAGAAAAGTGTTCGATGCATTTCTGAACATTTAGCTATAACATTAAAAGCTTAGTTGATTGATTTGCTTTACTAAATTTAGTTGATGACTAAATAAATTAAATTAATGTTCACACGGTCAGAATGGCAGTCTGCCAAACTAGGATGTTTATTATTTTAATCTATTCTTTACAGGTTATTATATCAATAATTATATATGTTATTGTATATGTGTTTTATATATGGTTATTATATATGGTTATTATATATGGTTATTATATATGGTTATTATATATGGTTATTATATATATATATATATATATATATATATATATATATATATATATATATATATATATATATATATATATATATATATATATATATATATATATATATATATTTCAGTTGTTAACGACTCACAATGAACGTCATTGACACTAAGATTTTGTAATTATCTAAATTTAAAAGAACTAAGAAAAAAAATACATACGCCTTCGCCAATGCCGTTTTACCCGGGTTGGTGTATTGAATTATAACCTGGTAGAGAAAAATTAGAAATTAACTCATCGCCAATTTGACACCAAGTTTCCGTTAGACAGATTACACTAAAATTATAGCTTAAGCTATATATATATATATATATATATATATATATATATATATATATATATATATATATATATATATATATATATATATATATATATATATATATATATATATATATATATATAATCTGTAAAAGTCATTTCTTGTTATACGATATGTTTATAAATATGTAAACTGATCTCAATAAAAAAGGCAGCAAATAACTATTTTTTTAAATATATTTTAATAATATATTAACGATATTTTGCTGACCTATTGTGATCAGCGTCATCAGGTAATGAAAAAACGTTACAAAATAACAAAAAACCAACCGTTTAAAAAAGAAGGCATTAAAATGCGTAAATTATAAAGACCAATCAAATAATATAAAAGTGACGTCAGTTAAATTTTTGTCAAAAAAGTTTTTTTTTTTTTTTTTTTTTTTAAATTTTGCTTACATTAAAATGTCATAGTACAATTATATATGCCATATATATCGTGTTACAATTAAATTCGTGTTACAACATTTATCAACTAAATTAAAATAAGAAAAAACACGGACATACATATGTAAATATAAGCATATATACACATACAAATGCGTAGATGCGCACATACATAAACTGCTTACAATGAAACATAAGCTAGGATCTGAAAGAAGATCACAAGATCTTGTCATCAGAACCTTATAAGGCACAAACAAGCAAAATAAATACCAGTATAAGATACTAAAAAATAAAATAAAAATTAAAATAAAGAAAGTACTGAATCCAAGTTGTATAACAATTTTCAAAATATTAGAAGTATCTGAGTATATTATCAAGCGAAATAATACATTTTTTTAGATTGAGCTTGAAAAGGTAAAAGGAAGTTGGTAAATCAAAATTCTGTAAAACTATATTATTCCATAGGCAGGGTCCACGATAAGCAATGCAAAATTGATTAAATTTTGTGTGACAAAATGGTTCTTTTAAAAAGTTTATGTTTCTCATATCGTATTTGTTGTTAGGTTTGAGTTTGAAAGTAATATTAAAAACGGTAGGGGATTGATTATTTCTCCATAGATATACAAAACATAAAACTTTAAATACATTGAGTTTAAATAAATTTAACAATATCATTTCAGTAAAAAGAGGTTTTGTGTGTGTAAAACGATCGGCATAGTTAATTATGCGGATTGCATGCTTTTGACGACGATAAAGAAGTTTTAACTTACTTTTTACAGTACTCCCCAAACAAAGTTGGCATAATTTATGTAACTGTGGATAAAAGAGTAATAAAGTTGTTTTAAGCAATTTTTAATAAGGTAGTTACGAGCTTTATATAGAATCCCAATATTTTTTGAAATTTTAGTAGATATATAGTTAATATGTTTATTCCAGGAGATGTTTTCATCGAGATAAACACCTAAGAACTTTGTAACGGAATCATTTTTTATTTCAATTTCGTCAATAAAAAATTGCGGCAAATTTATTGGTAAAAATCGCTTTTTTGCATGCGAATGGAATAGAGTCCATTTGGTTTTATTAATATTTAAAGTTAGCTTATTACATTTAAACCAGTTTGATATATGTTTTAATTCTTTATTCATAATAGTAAAGAGTTCGTATATATTACTGTTTGAGAGGAATAGATTGGCATCATCTGCGTACATAATGCTTATAAGGTTAGAAGCTTTATTCAGATCATTTATATATATCAAGAAAAGTAGGGGCCCGAGGATTGAACCCTGAGGAACACCGCAGACGATATTAAGACAATTATTTTGATAGCCGTCGTTACTAATTACAAATTGTTTTCTTTTTGTTAAATAGATTCTAAACCATTTTAAGGCAATACCATTAATTCCATAATATTTAAGTTTTTGAAGCAGATTGTGATGATCTACCGTGTCGAAAGCTTTTGATAGGTCAATGAAGATACCTAACAAGTACTGTGATTTTTCAAAAGATTTTGAGATTTCATGCACAAACTGGATTATTGCATGCTCTGTTGAGTTATCTTTTTTAAAACCAAATTGTTTGTTGTACAGTAAGTTATTTTTGTTGAGATGTTTGTATATTCTATTAGACATTATTCTTTCTAAAAATTTTGAAATTTTTGTTTTCACATTATCCCCGTCATCTCTATTTAGAACAGTTTACCTAATACCTATCTCGTGTCGAACTTTTGCTTTATTTATCTCCAAGGATTCTCTAACTTTTCTTATCTTGTATTCTGGAATGACTGCCAAGATCTTAGGATTCAGCCAATCAAAAGTACCACGACATGTTATAGAATGTTCCGTGGCTCCTGAACTCGACCATTTTTGATTTTTACAAGCTCTTTGGTGTTCCGCACTTCTCGAAGAGATTTTCTTTTTGGTCTCACCAATATCTATACTTCCGCATGAGCATTAAAGCTCGTACACACCCGGATTCGAGTTCGGAGGTAGTTTTGTTTTGTTATTGCATAGCATGATATTTAAGTTGGGGGCTGAAGTAAATATAACTCTGATGTTTTGTTTTCTAAATTCTATTCGGATTTTAGGGCCAATAATAGGTATCCAAGGTAGTTTAACAAATTGCTTATCCAATTGTTTAGAATTAGTATTTTGAAATGCGGTCTAAATAGTTTTTGGTTATTTTAATAAGATAGCTTTTGTTATAACCGTTTTGAAAGAGTGTTTTTATGAGGAAATCAATTTTTAGTGAGATATGTTTTTTAGAGCAGATTTGTTTAGCTCTACATGGAAATCCTTTAAAGACGCCAGTGATTATGCTTGGGTTGATGTTAGAGTTTTATTTGAACATTGGTTATCGCATCCTTACGATGTACTTGAAATTCATAAAATCCGTTAATTGTATTTGTAATATAAATACCTAAAAAGCTATGACTACCATCAATGATAAACCAATTGGACTTGAATTAGGTAAAATTCGGATTTTATCTTCGTATAAAAAGTAACATTTGCTTAATGAAAGATATATCTATTTGATAAAGAAGCAGGTTTTGCTTTATTATACGAAAATGAAGCAAAAGATAAATTAGAGGAACAAATAAAAAATATTGATTACGTTATTGATTACGTTATTGACCCAACGCCCACATTCACTACTAAATTTCAAAAACTGTTATGCAAATTAAGAAAACAGGGTAAATTAGACATTTACAGGGTAAGTTTTACATTTACATGCCATTTACTTTAAAATGTATCCATCAGATTGCGTCCCACTCAGTTAAAAGATTGGAATCTTTTAACTGAGGGCAATGATGCTAATGATGCATACAACTTATTTTTACGGCTGTTTTCTAAACAATACGAAAACCCTTTCCAAAAATTAAAAAAACAACAAACTCCGAAAACTTTAATAATCCGTGGATGATAAATGGTCTTAGAAAACCATCCAGAAAAAAACAAAAGTTGTATGAAAACTTTTTAAAAAATAAAACTTATAAAAATGAAATTATGCGCTTAAAATAAATAATAGTGTAGAGTTTGACGATGTTAATGTTAACTTTCTAAAAGCTGTTTTTGATGTTATTAAATTACCTCTTTTGTTAATCTTCAATCTTTCAATAACAACTGATATTTTTGCTTATCAATTAAAAATAGCAAGAATAGTCCTTGTATACAAAAATGGCGACAATTCTATACCATTTAACTATAGACCTTTATCTAACTTTTTTGTTTTTCAAAGTTGCTTGAGGGCATTATGTATAACAGACTGTGTAGTTTTCTTGAAAAACATAATATCTTATTCAGCAAGCAGTGTGGTTTCCTGAAAGGGCTTTCAATGCATCATGCAGTAACTGATTTAGCCAGTCAAATTCTGAATGGGTTTGCTAAAAAATGTTATACTCTTGGCTTTTTTTTACCCATTCCAATATAAAAACAATTTTTTTACAGTAAATCGTGAGCTGGAAAATCTTAATGACTGGTTTAAATCAAATAAACTCTCTTTGAATATCAGTAAAACTAAGTACATTTTATTTCATCACCAATCTAAATTTGATGACTTGCCTCTGCAAGTTTCTAAGCAAATGATAAATAAAACATAAAAAACAGAGTTTCATCACTTATAAATAAAACATAGTAAACAGAGTTTCATCAATAATATTTGATGAACATCTTAATTGGAAAAATCATATTACGCTAATTGAAAACAAAATTTCTAAAACTATAGGCATTATGCATAAAACAAAACACCTACTAAGTAAAAAATGTTTAACAGATTTATATTACTTTTTTATCCATAGCTAGATAAGCAATTGAAATATTGCTTGAGCAAGTCGCCCTTCAGCATAAAAACATATATATATTATACTAATATATATATATATATATATATATATATATATATATATATATATATATATATATATATATATATATATATATATATATATATATATATATATATATATATATATATATATATATATATATATATATATATATATATATATATATATTTACTTGTTTTATATAACGAGTATTTGTAATTTTATATAATGAGAAATTTGTAAAAAATACTTTACGCTTACTATAAGGGCTTGATGACAAGACTGAGTCTATAGTCATTTTTAGGCTTTAGCTTTTCTTACGAATAAAAATTAATATACTATTAATATACTATTAATAATACTATGAAGTATTAATTAGTTTTAATTACTTATTGGTGAATTTCGCACACTCGCGAACTTCACCAATAAGTTTGATTCCTCTTTCGGCGTAATTATTTGTTACCTCTGATTGTTTAACAAAAATTTCTGCAGTTCGATAATCTTGGAAAAACTTCCACTCTTGTGAATTCATCTGCAGCTATTCTTAATTGTTTATTAATCCTAATAAATCAAAAAGAAGCCAAGGCAGATGCCCAATTAAAAAATAAATAAAAGTTGAAGAATTTAATGTCAAAAATTTTGGTTTCCCACTTAAAAGAATTTTTGGTCTTTGGGTAGAAAAAAGTTTCCTTGCCATTATTGTTTTGGTAAAGTCTAACAATTTTCATTAAATAAAAATAAAATAACAAGCTCTTCTGTTAAATACCGTCGGTTAATTTAAAAAATTGCAGCAGTTGCAATATTTAAACCTTCTTATTGACACCAGCTCATTGCAACGAGACATCTATTGGAGCAAACACGGGTATCCTCGAGTGGAGAAATTGTATAAAAAAAACAAAAAAACTAATAAACTTAGCCATGCGTTGATATTATAATTTGCTCATCATTGGACATAATAAACTTATCAGATAAGAGCTTCTTTTTAAAAAATATATATAGAATGTGACAAAAATCTTGCATTGTGAACTGCATCTGATTTGTGAATTTTGAATATACTGCCCACTGATAGTTTTCCCCCGATGTAGATAAAAAGTAATTCAATTAACTCAAGATCTTCTCGAAGTCTTCTTGAGGAACTATTTTCTCGTCGAGGCATTGGTAAGCCCATTTCAAAACTGAAATTGCTTGATTAAATATTTCTGATTTGATGCCAGTGACCGTTCAAAAATATTAAAGTTTGAGTAATCAATATCAATTCTTAAAAAATTTGACTCGGAAACGTTTAAAAATGGGCTCATCTGGACTCTTGCTATTTCCTCGTAATGCGGTTTGATGTGTAACTCATTGTAATGATGGCGACATGCTAGCCAAAGGAGAGGTCTCTTTAAACAAATTTTAATTAAAGTTGCTGCTCTTTTTAATTACCTGTGTTGCTGGCTGTTGTATCAAAGCAAATACCAACAATGCTTTCCAAAATATTCTAATTTTGCGCAAGTTTTGCGGCCGTATCAAATTGAATTTTACTTTTAAAACTTTAATCAAAGGTACACCAATAAGTTTTGGTCTAAAAATCAAGTTAACTTCTTTGAAACTAAAAATATAAATAGAGTTTATTTAAGTAAATAAGTACCCGTAATAAGATCCGCTTATAAAAACTGCTACACGAGAGCTATATTTAAATGAAATGCTTAAATCCTAGTGCAAAACGGCCTTTTTTGGTTTGTTTATCTGATAAACAACATTGGTCTGCCACTCAAGATAAGATAATTATCTTAAGATAGTTTTTCAAGATATTTTTTTTTTGATTATATATATATATATATATATATATATATATATATATATATATATATATATATATATATATATATATATATATATATATTATTTAAATGAAGAAAAACAACATTATAATAGTACTTAAAGTTTCGTGCCTTTCGGCAATCATCAGCAATTAAATCCAAATTAAAAATTAAAAATTAGCGTTTAAAAAACCAACATTTTCTTTTTTGTAATGTAAAGAAATTTGAAATAATAAAAAAATTCCTACTAACTCGCAAACTTCAGCACTGTCTTACGCTAAACCCGATAATGAACTGATATATGTCCACTGTGATTCCAACCACCCGCCTAATGTTATTAAAAGACTCCAACGTACTGTTGAAATAAGATTATCTTCAACGTCATCAAATGAAGTTGTTTTTAATAATACTACACCATCTTACGAAGAGGCTTTTAAAAAAGCTGGTTATAACTGTAAGCTTACATACCAACCCCAGGTTACATCACCTAAAAATAAAAATCGCAAGCGAAATATTATATGGTATAACCCTCCGTTTAGTCTAAATGTAGAAACAAAAATAGGAAATCGTTTATTAGCATGGGTTGATCTACATTTTCTTGTGAATCACAAACTACGCAAAATATTCAATAGAAATTCGATCAAGGTTAGTTATAGCTGCATGCAAAATATTAAATCCATCATTAGTTCATACAACCACAAGATTTTACAAAGTAAAAGAAATATAACTACAAAAACATGCAACTGTATTACTAAAACCGCTTGTCCATTAGGCAACCAATGTTTAGTAAGTAATATTGTTTACCAAGCCACTGTGAGTTCTGATGATCCAGATCCTAAGGAAAAAGTATATTTTGGTATCAGTGAGACACCATTCAAGCTCAGATACGCAAATCATTTAAAGTCTTTTAATGCGATCAAATATAAAAATGATACTAAACTTTCAAAAAGAAATTTGGAGTTTAAAAGAAAAAGGTACAACACCTATTATAAAGTGGAAAATTGTAAAACGCTGTGAAGCTTACAAACCAGAAACAAAAACCTGCAAACTTTGTCTTCATGAGAAGTTAGAAATTTTATCTTTTAATGGAAACAACCTGATTAATAAAAAAGAAGAAATATTATCTAAATGTCGGCATTTAAATAAATTCCTGTTATCTTCGTTTGATACTGGAGATTAAATTGCGCCTTTTCAAATTACGTCAGAACTCGTTCTACCGTAAAATTTTGATTCGTTTTTTAAACGTTAATTTTTAATTTTTAATTTGTAATTAATAGCTGATGATTGCCGAAAGGCACGAAACTTTAAGTACTGTTATAATGTTATTTTTCTTCATTTAAATAAAATATATATATATATATATATATATATATATATATATATATATATATATATATATATATATATATATATATATATATATATATATATATTTGCAGTTACGGTTGATATTTATTAGGGCAATTAGAGGAAGGTTGCGTAAGTTGAGTATGTTTCAGTGTAATGTATCTCAGCTTTGAGCATTGAACGTGGCCTAAATTTTAACGGTGATCAACTTGTGACAAAGATAAGCAAAGTTGACAAAAAAATGGACGAAATTAAAACTTTGTAAATCTGATTAAAATCATTTGAAGGCAAATTAGACAGCGAATCGACCGAGATTAAAGAAAAACAGTCAACTTGGAAGATCGCAATCGTCGAAACAATTTGCGAATTGTGAGTGTTGAAGAGGGACCCAATAAAACATATGATGATGTTTTAAAAAAACTCAAATCGCGTATTAAAGAGGACCTCCAAATAAATGAACCAATAATCATAGAAAGAGCCCATCGGGATGAAGACTTTAGAAACCATGACAATCCGAAAAGAACCATCTGCACAAGCAAAAATCCATCGAAGCCAAGGAAAATATGCGAAGGTAGTATACAACCGCCTGGTCGTACAAGAAATGCAGAGTATAAGCAATGCGACGACAAACAAAGATAAGTGAAAACAAATTTGTTTTTATTGTTTTTATTTTTTATTGACTTTGATTAAAAATTATTAAACGATCTAATAAAAAATGAGTTTAACTAACAAGAATAATATAAAAATTAATATTGAAAACCTAGAGTCTCCAATTTTAAACTTTTTGAGAACTAACAAAAATGAATATAGTTATTTGACTGAAATAAATATAAGTTGTCTCGACAACTCATACTATAAACCTGACAAGTTTAATAGAGAAAAAAACAATAAAGTTTTTAGTATCCTCATTATAAACATAAGATCAATGAATAAAAATTTTGAAGCTTTTAAACATTTTTATTACTCTATAAACTATCTTTTTAATGTTATATGTATCTCAGAAACTTTTGAAGATGCAAAACAGCCTTTGTAAGAAAATTCTTTGTACAATTTATCATCTTATAAAATAATAAGTCGACCACGTGTTGGAAGCATGGGAGGCGGTGTTGCAATCTATATTCTTGACAAGATTGTGTTTAAAATATATATATGTATATATATATATATATATATATATATATATATATATATATATATATATATATATATATATATATATATATATATATATATATATATATATATATATATATATATATATATATATATATATATATATATATATATATATATATATATATATATAAATCATAGAGCACTTATTTACAAAACCCATAATGTATACGTATAGTTTACAACTTAACTAAGTATTTTACTGATTAACATGTAGCTAATGTTAATAATAATAATAATACTATATATAGATAATATAGATTTGCAACTCGTAGTTTCATGTGAAAAGTTGGGATAGATCTGAAACAAACAAAAAATGAAAGTTTGGATAATTCTGAAACAAAAATACAAAACTTACTAGAAAATGAACTTAATGTAACTGGAGTAAATATATAAAGAGCTCATCAGACAGGTAAACCTGATTTAAATAAGCCAAGAACAATTGTGATAAAGTTACTTGACTATAAAGATAAGATAAAAATACAAAAAATGCGAACAAACTTAAAGGCTCTGGAATATTTATTAATGAAGATTATTCAATGGAAACAGCGTTAATACGGCTTTAATAACTTATACTTTAAATATTTAATAATAATTAATACAGCTTAAAAAAGCTTTTTGAAGAGAGAAAGTTACTTAGGACCAACGGTAAATATTGTATTGTTGCCATTCTTTATATTTTTATATTTTTTTGTTTTTAAAATATTCTTATTTAAAATGGCTGAGGAAACTGATTTGTCAAATTTTGAATTTAAAACATTTAAAATTAAAAATTTAATCCTTTTAAATCGCAAATCGGATCCTGATATTAACTTTTATAATGATGATGAAAAGGAATGGATGATATCTCATTTTCAATTCTTCATATTAATGTTAGGAGTTCAAAAAAAAATTTTAAATCATGAAAACATTTTCTACTGTATATAAAATTAAAATTAATTTTCAAAATATTGTCTCAGTGAAATATGGTGTCAAGACAAAAATGTTGAGAACGATTCATATTACCAAATACCCAATTACAATGTAGTCCACCAAATTAGAGGCCTGGGCACGGAAGGCGAAGGTTTATGTATATTTGTTAAGAATTCATTGTTATTCAAATTTAGTTCAAATTTAAGTTCAATCACAAATGATTATAAGTCATTATTTGTGGAAATCATTAATAAAGCCTCAAAAAACATTGTCGTGCATGCATTATAGAGACCACTATCAAGAAATATCAATGCATTTGAAGATCACATTAAAAATATAATTGAAAATAAATTGAGTTTAAATAAAAGTGTTTATTTCGTGAGTGACATTAACCTTAATATTTTAAATTATGACGTAAATAAACAAACGAATAAATTCTTTAACGTCATTTTTCAAAGCCTTCGTTGTAATGTAGCGTTCCCTAAAATTACTAATATAGTCAAATCAAAAACGCTTTTAAACCCATGGATAACGAAGGGATTCCTTAAATCTTCCAAAATTTAACGATTACATTGTAAATTTCTTAAAAAAAGAACTTTAGTAAATGAAACTACTTACAAAAGTTATAAACGTTTGTAAGTAGTTTTTTGAATCTGTTCTAGAAAGCTCAAAAAAAAACTATTCTAAAAAAAAAAAAAGAAAAACAACAGTACACAAAAAACAATATTAAAGAGGTAATTGGCAAAAAAATCTGGACCGTTACACAAAAAACTCACAACTGATCTTTAAGCTAATCTTAATTACTTATTTATAAATAATTCATTAAGCTTGGTTTCCAATAGTTGTAGAAATGTCGTATAACCATCGTGCAACTTTCGTTTAACTTGTTGTGCGTTAATTTGTTGTGCAACGTGATGTTTCCATTGCATTTAATTAAGTCAAATTAAAAAAAAAAACTTAGAATAAATGAAAAACATGGCGGTTATTGAAAAAAGTGTTATTCTAAGTTATCGACTTTTCATTATACTTTTAATTTTAAAACGCAAAAAAAACTCAAAAAAAAGAAAACATCTTTTATTAATTTTTTTTATTTTTATTTTTATTTATTTTATTTGAATTTTCATACTATATTTTTCTATACAATGTTCTTATATCCGAAGATATTGTTGGCTTAGCATAGAAACAGCCACAAATAGTCATTAATCCAAAGTAGCGTCCGTTATTGACCAACATTTTTGCCTGCCGAAGTACTACTCAAGCGCTAAGTTGGCGGTGGCAGGATTTGAACTCGTATCTTACAACTGTCCGGGTTTAAACTTTTTGTTCGACGCTCTAACCAACTGAGCTATCCAGGCACATCAGTTTTAAGCCAGAGAACTTTTTAAAAAACATTACATCAAGGTGCATTTAGTTCATTGGTGCAAATTGCAGAAAAAACAAAAAACTGTTGCAGAGATAGATTGTTCTCAAAACTCGCAACCGCAGTTGTACAACAGTTGTACGACATTTCTTCAACTATTGGAAACCAAGCTTTAGTTGCAGAAACACTCAATAACTTTTTTGCTAATGTAGTTTCGAATTTATCCACTCTAATATAGAACCATCTCAGACAAACTTTTGTTTATACTTAACACCTAATAAAACTGTCATGTCTAATCATGACCATACAGAAGATAAATTATTTAACTCAGTTTCTTTACTAAAACATAATAAAAGTTTGGGTACTGATGATGTTAGTATGATGTCATTATTAAATCAATAAGTTTTATAAAAATACCACTATTACATATTTTAAATTTATCTTTAAAACACGCGGTATCTTCCTGAAAACTTAAAATGTTCAAAGGTTACACCAATCTATAAAACAGGTGATCCTTCTGATATCTCAAATTACAGACCAATCTCAATTCTTACCTGCTTTTCCAAGATTTTGGAACGTGTTATGTATAACAGACTTTTTTAATTTATTCTTTTTTAATTATTAATAATTTTCTTTACGATAAATAATTTGGGTTTAAATCTGGCCATTCAACCAATCATGCAATCATTCTTCTAGTACATGAAGTATTTAAAACTTTTGATGAAAACAAATTTACTTTAGGCGTCTTTATTGATCTAAGTAAGGCTTTTGATACGGTGGATCATAATATTCTCCTGCACAAACTTAAAAGTTATGGTATCATAAATTATAACTTATCTTGGCCTAAAAGTTATCTAACAAACAGGAAACACTACATCTCGTTTAATGATAATAAAACGGATTTAGCGACAATTTCCTGCGGCGTCCCACCAGGATCAATTTTCGGACCCCTTTTATTCCTCATTTATATAAATGACTTAAAAAAACTTTCAAGTATTTTAAATTCAATCCTATTTGAATCCAGACGACACTATCCTACTTTATTCTGATAAGGATATTAATTCTTTATTTGAAACAGTAAACATAAAGCTTGCAAATCGAAGTGAATGGTTTATAGCAAATAAATTATCCATAAACATAAAAAAAAGCAAAATATACTTTGTTCCATCGTCTTCATGAAAAGAGACTCATCCCATTAAGACTTCCAAGTTTAGTTGTAAATAATTCTTGTATAGTAAGAGAACGTTCATTGCTATTTTTTGGAGTTGTTATTGATGAAAATGTGAGTTGGAAGGAGCACACAAATAATTCGAAATAAAATTTCGAAAAAAATAGGTCTACTTTACAAAGCTAAGCAGTTATTAAATCAATCCTGTTTAAATTACATTTAATTTTTCATTTATTCATAGCTACCTAAGTTATGCAAACGTTGCCTGGTGTAGCACTAACGCAACTAAAATAAATAAACTATTAATTAAACAAAAGCATGATGTAAGAATTATTGGAAATGTAGATCGTTTCTTACACAATAAACCTCTATTCATTAAATTTAATATTGTCAACGTATTTTAATTAAATATTTATCAAATTCTTATTTTTATGTTTAAAGTTCATAAAAAAAAATAGCACCTATTTTATTTAACTCATTTTTGGAAAAAATAAATCATCTATATCCAACACAATTTTCAGAAAACAATTATATTCAACCTAAAACATATTACTCTGTTTTCAATTGCAAACACACGTCCTAAACTATGGAACGCGCTCTTGTATATTGAGTTAAAAACTATTTCTACTATTAAACAATTTAAAAACAAACTTAAGCAAAAGTTTTTAATAAATGACAACGAATTAAAATTTTTCTGAAGTCTTTGATTAGCAGTAATCACGTTGGTCTATTTATTTTATTTCTTTATAAATATGGTTTAAATATATATTCTATATTATAACTGTTATTCAATTTGTACATTATGACGTTGTTTTTTATTTGATATAATAAACTTTACACATATAAAAGACACATTAAGGTACTAAAAATGTTTAAAATTTTTTTTTATTTTGTTTGTTTGTTTGGTATTCGTGTATTATCTGTTATTTTATGATTTAAATTCACAAGATTTATAAATCTAAAACCAGTTAGGAAAAAACTAATTTAACTAAAAAAATAATTAATTAAAAAATTTTTGTTTACTTTTGGATATATTACACTCTAATATAGCGTAAAATGTACTTTTACTTTATTTTTTATTTAACGTTACAATTTATTTAACGTTATTTTATTTTACCGCAACGTTTTGTTTAACGTTTATTTAACGAGTTACTTTTTTTTGTATTTTTATTTTTGACAGTTTTTATTTAAAGGGGTGATAAGACTGAACTTTTTTTCTTCTTGGCCCACCCATGCATTATATATTTGTATCGCATAAACTTGTAAACTTTTCTTATCGGCGAAATACCTAATAATAATGTGTTTCCACTAGCAGAAAAATTAGTTTTGCTGCAAATTTTGTTTAGAAAATTACGATTTTTATTAAGGTTTTGAACGGAAACTTGTAAATAAGTCATTAAGTGTAAGTTATTTATTATTAATTAGTTTATAAAACTGATAAAAATTTATAATTTAGGTTATTTAATTTTAATTAGACTGTTAAAATAATAATCGGTATTTACATATTTAAAATTTATAATTAGGTAAAATAATTTGTTGAATGCATAATTTATAAATAATTTTAGATTTTTAAGAAAAAATAAAATAAAAATAAAAAAATATAAAAAAATAATAAAAAAATATAAAAATTGAAAAAACTATTAGTAAATGTTGTTAGTTATTTAGGTATTTAGTTAGCTAAATAATTATTTAGCTAGCTAAATAATTATTTAGCAATAGAAGTTTTTAGTTTTCATGATGGCACTTTGATATAAATTCAAATCGTTCATTAAATAGTTCATTAGGTTTCTAATAAGAAATAGTTGCAAGTTTTTCATTTAGGCTATGGAGACATTTTTTTGAAATGTTTGAATAAGGGGGAAGTGATTTTAAATTAGATCAGGCAAAAGTGGGGGTTTCGTTAAATTTGCTTTTCAAATCCCAAACATAGCTAGATAGGGCCGTTGCCTTTTGATATATTTTGTTCTTGAAGGACGACTTGTGGTTGTAATATCTTGTTTTCCACTCACCTTCAGTTAATCCGATATAGACTTTTTAGGATGGTTTTTAGCGGTGACAATGCATTTGTATATCACGTTTGTAAATATATATTTTTCATTTATTGGGCAATCTAGCTAATTTCTGCAGTTGCGTTTTTGTTAATTACATTCAACTCTTGGCGAAAGAATTTTGCGATTATAGTTTTTTATGATTTTTTAAATGTTTTAAATTCAAATGAAATTGAATTTTTTTTTTAAGTATATAAAGGGACAATGTAGTTATCTAAATATTTTGTCGGGTATGTAGGAACTTTGTCAAAATAGGACTAAAATATTTATAATTATTGAAATGAAATATTATATTATTTTTAAATTATAAGTCACATTATTTTTTTAATTCTAACACTGTAAGATTATTAAATTAATTTTTTTTTTTCTTGTAATAAAAAATGTAAATATTTTATTTGAAAATTTTGAACTTTTTTATTTTATTCTATTTTTAAAATATTTATATGATTGCTTACTCTCTTTAATAATGAATGTTTAATTCAAGTGTTTGTTTAAAATTACTTTTATTTATGTTAAATCTATTGTTATTATCAACTGAAAATAAAGTTTTTTTATTTAAATAAATATTAAAATAAATTAAAAAAAAGTAATTTTACATTTGTTTACAAATATTACCTAAATATTAGATAAAATTTTCTTTACAACTTGATTTTTTGATGTTTTCTTTCTTTAATAGCATTAAAAAAAAATTAATTTGTTCAGTTTACCTATATATATATATATATATATATATATATATATATATATATATATATATATATATGACTTAAAGATTACGTTGTTTTCGTCAGCTTCAGTGATTTTCGCCGATAATTTTATGAGATATATAACTTCATTTGGCAAAAACCGTTGAAGCAGATAAAAAAAGCATAATCATTTATTAAATAATATCTTTGCGTATTATATTGGACAATGCGTAAAAAAAGTTAAAAAACTGTTTAAAGATATTTTTAAAAATGTTTAGTTAAAAAACTTTGCGTATTATATTGGACAATCTTAGCATTTTAAAAAACTGTTTGAAGATATTTTTAAACCATGGTTTTAAAAGTCAAACTAAAAACAAGTTTTCATTTTCAAAGCAATCTTTTTAGTTTAGAACAATGTTTAAGCTAATAAGAATGAACTTAAGATTTGCTCTGTCATATCAAAAGAAAAAAAGAACCTTTCGGTACAAAACTGTAGTTGCAGTTTTTGTATCTTGCATAGACACGAAAAAGAAAGGAGTTGAACTTTGGTTTTAGGTAGTGAAAATCAATTCTGCTGATGTTTGAAGGTCTTTAAAGAGAAAAGATGTACACATGGATAACTTTAAAGAGAAAAGATGTACACATGGATAACTTTTCTATCAAAAAAGGATACTAATTAATTAAGAAAAAAGATACTAGTTAATTGAAAGGATACTAATTAAAAGGATACTAATTATTTAAGTATACCAATTGATTTATTATTTATATTTTACTAATGTAAAATTTAAATTACCCACTGGGAAAAAAGACGTCGAAAAGACGTCTTTAAAAGTCTTATTTACGATGTCTTTTTTTAGTCGATTATGCAAATCTAAAAGACAACTATTTTCGATATCGAAAAGGCGTCTTATTTGTTTTTATCTTGTCATTAAAAGGCATAAAAACTGCGTCTTTTAAACGTCTTTGTTTATCGATTATGCACTTCTAAAAAAAATTTTTTTTTTGGGTTGGAACAACTTTTTTGTCATACTTATTAGTACACTATAGTATCCTACACACTACTGTATTCCTATTTTTCATATATGAAAAGCTGTTTTTATGAAATGAAAATGATAATAGCTCTTCATACAAAGTATGACAAAAAGCTCTTTCCGATGTCGAGAAAAAAACCTATTTTAGATGTCAATATAAAAGAGGAAGTATTTTCTACATCTTTATATGTTTAAACATATAAAAGAAAATAATTTATAAATAAAACAGCAGTATTGTTCAACAGAATATTTTCTCATCTTTCTCTTTCTTCTCTGCTTCTTGAGTGAGCTCTGTTACTTAGCATTGTTCAATAAAATTAACTATTTCGCGTCGAGAACTCCTTTTATACGAGCTGGCTGCGACTTCTAAAAAATGAGTGAACATAAAAAACAGTCTCTTGTTTTAACAAGGCTTACCAACTAACTCAAAAAGGGCTGATCCTTTTAACCTTTTTTGTTTCCACAGCAGTCCTTTCTTTTTGTTCCCACTACGTTAAATTGAGACAGGAGTCAAACGGTAAACAGTCTGAAAATATAAAAAAATGAGTGTGCTAAATAAATTTACAACCATCAAAATGACTGTACAACGATGTATTTTATTATGTAGTACTTAAACAAGTTACACATTTGCACCTCTCAAATTTGCCATGAAAGCCAAGTTATCGAAAATAGATATTAATATTTTTCTTTCTTCTATGAGTGACTTTTTAATTTAATTTCTACAACACAACTAGATTTTACATATAAAACTTGTGTGAAATAGAGTTTGCAAACAAAGGGGGTCGTTCGCACCTGACAAACCTCCCCCCCCCCCTCCTCATATATATTTTTAATTTGATATAAAGTTTATTGATGACGTTCAGAAAAATGCCTTTAATTCAGATGTTTATTATAAGGAAAAAAATTAATAACATAGTAATAATATAATCTGTGTACATTTTTCATCTAATCACTGTCTTTGGTAAACGAAATCTCATTGTTGTAAATATCATCAAAGACGTTATTGTCAGAATTATCATTCCCAATAGATTCAGGTGCAATATTAGCCTTCTTTGGTACCCGACTAGGTGTGCCTATTAGTCTGGCTTCCGCCTTGACTGTTGCGCGTTTTGCATGCATTGGTATTCGTTTTAATTGATCTCCGAGCGCCTCTGCCACCTTATGGTCGTTAATGCGTTTTTGCGATCTAAGCTGCAGAGAATCTATAAAATATAAAAACAATATCTACATCTTTAAAAAAATGGAATTGGTAAAAAAAATTATGTATCCAATTATACAATTATTGAAATCACATTACTACAACAGTATAACTTTTTTTTGACAAAATAAATAAAAAAATACAGCATGGCTAGGTTGTAGATATAGAGATCAATCACTTTTACCTATTATGATAGGAAGAATACTTGGGCTAATACTCCTTCTCCCTCTTTTCCCATCCCGGCTATATAAAGACCAAACTGAACTGGGTGCCAGGGCCAACAACATATTAGAAAGCTTGCCGGAGAGATTTTGTGATGCAAGTGTGATATTGGACAAAGATGTAATCTTTAATTTAAATACATAGGCACAATATTAGTTTAAATTGGAAATAGAAAAAACTAACTGCATACATTTAGCTAAAACTATAGCTTTAAAGATTATTTAAAATTAAAGTTACCAGGGACTGACGTTCACAATCATTTAATTCAGCCAGTAAGTCAGGTGACTATCCAGCTCGTCTGCTGTTGTGCTAAAATTTAAAGCGCATTAACAGCAGATTTGGTGTTGCTTAGACCAATCACCATGCCCATGAGGGTTTTTTGGGTGTCCTCAATCCGAATGAGAGTGGTGAATATTTCTTGAAACCACGCTACAATAATAAAATAAATATTAAATTTAAGGACTACTTCAGTATAAAAATAACATATTAGGAAAAAAACATTGTGGTTAATGCTAACTAACCACTGTTGTGGTTAATGCTAACTAACCACTGTTGTGGTTAATGCTAACTAACAAATTATCACAACAACTTACAACGCATAGCTGTATTTGAAATTGGTAAATCGGATTTCTCAGTTTCATTATCCTTCAAACTTGGAGTCTTTTGTCGAGCTTTAAAGCAAGTTTGAACTGATGCAGATGATCCAAAACATTCGGATGAAGTTTCAATTAGTGGCAGTGTTGGACTAGGTGGATCTGAGATAAAAACAAAGAAGAAGCTTGTGATGATGCTGAATATATTGGTGATGGTGTAGTTGGAAATAAATAAAGAAGTTGTGTATTCAGTGTTGTTGGTGGAGTTGTTGGTGATGCTAAGCTAACTTCGTTTTCTTTGTGAGTCAGTTTTGACTTTTTTTGTCATTTGTTTCGTATTCCTCGTCCGATAGCTACAGAGGTCGTCTGCGAGTTCGTCCATTTTCATAGTCCGTTGAAAGTAAATTTCCAGTCTCTGAGTATTTTTTTCAATGTTTATAAATATTTTTGAGAAATTCTAGAAAAAAGCGTTAATCAGAATTAAAAACAAAACTATTTGGTATTAAAAGTTCATCTAATCATAATTCATCTAGCAAATCACCTTACCAATCTATCAGTCAAGCATTATTGTCTGCTAGATTTTAAGTTTTTTTTAAGTTTCCTAATTACTATACACACTTACCATGTTTGTATAAAACTTTGCATGCAACCGTTTCCCATGTTGTTAGTGCTGGCAATTTATTCTTCAGCATATATCATGTTTTTGTATATTTAAAATCGGGAAATGCAACCATGTGGAAGCCGTTTTGGTCAACCGACTCTAGCCACGAATGTAAATCTACGGCTATAGAACTGTCAGCAAACTCAATTAAAATATACATCTATAATAAATTTACTATTGTTGAATAACTAACATTTTGTATAATATATAAAAAATTACCCATTTTTAAATTTTCATATTTAATAGTTAAACGCAAAAATAGTAATTGGAATTACAGCACCTAAATAAAGCATAAATAAATAAATAAAAAACAAGTTGTTTGCAAAACAAATATTATTAAAATAATATAATTTAACTATTACAAATATGCAAAATTGGAGAAAAATTATTTTTGTAGGAAAATAGTTTACAATAAACTAAACTAATAGGATTTAGTTAAAGATTTGGAAAAATGCGTTCCTTTATAAATATCCAAAGCAGAAGATTTTAGAGGAAAATTATACGCATCAGTTTGTTCTAATAAGTAACATACCTTCAACCATATATCATCATTTTGATTGGTATTAAAAAAAATACAACGTATTTTTTAATACCGATCAAAAAAAATACACATAATGACAACAGATTTATCTTCAGAAATGTTCTCAAAATTTTTGGTTTGGATACAAAAAACCAAGTGAAAATGATAATGGAAAGGTACACTTTCTTATATCTAAACATCATTGCAGCTTTCTAGTCTTCATTTTTGTTTGTGTGTATTTCATCTGTGTTGCTAATGATATTGCCAGTTTTTATGATTTTATGTTATTAAGTAAAGCATCTTTATGTTTCAGGCTAAAATAGAGCTTTGACTAATACTTTTTTCCAGTTTAAATGAATAACAACTCCAAGGTGTATTAGCTAAATTATCTTTTTGTTTTGATAGTCTTTATTTAATAACGGATTTAAAATGTTATTTTAAATTGTCTACAACACTTAATTTCAGCAAAATTCAATTAAAAAGTCATGTTATAGAAGACAGAAAAATATCAATATCTATTTTTAATAACTTGGCTTTCATAGCAAATCTGAGAGGTGCAAATGTTTAGCTTGATTTAAGTACTACATAATAAAATACATTGCTGTACAGTCATTTTGATGGTTGTTAATTTATTTAGCATACTCATTTTTATATATTTGTAGACTGTTTACCATTTGACTCCGGTCCCAATCTAACCTAGTGGGTTCAAAAAGAAGGGACCTCGCTGGAAACATTAGTGGATTAAAAGGATCAGCCCTTTTTGAAATAGGGCTGATCCTTTTAATCCACTATGGTAGGTAGTTGGTAGGTAAAATGTGCTCCACTCAGCTAATCAAGTTTTTGTTTGCTTTTTTTGTATTACATTTTAGCAATAAACTATTTTTTATGTTCATTCGTTTTTTAGAAGTGGTAACCAGCTAGAAGTCATAACCTGCTCGTATGAAAGGATTTCTCCACGTGAAATTGTTAATTTTATTCAACAACGCCAAGAAACAGAGCTCGCTCAAAAAACAGAAAAGAAAAAGAAAGATGAAAAAATATTCTGTTGAACAATACTATTATTTTATTTATAAATTATTCTCCTATATTTAAACATATAAAAGATGTAGAAAATGCTTCCTCTTTTATATTGACATCTAAAAGAGGTTTTTTTTTCGGCATCGGAAAGAGCTTTTTGTCATACTTTGTATGAAGAGCTATTATCATTTTCATTTGAAAAACACAGCTTTTTATATATGAAAAGTAGGAATACTATAGTGTACTAATAAGTATGGCAAAAAAAAAAGTGGTTCCAAGCCCGAGAAAAAACACTTTTTAGAAGTGCATAATTGATAAACAAAGACATCTTAGAGACGCATTTTTTGTGTCTTTTCATTATAAGATAAAAACAAAAAAGACGCATTTACGATTTCGAAAAAAGATGTCGTTTAGATTTGCATATTCGACTAACAAAAGGCGTCTTAAAGACGTATTTTTAATGTCTTTTCATGATAAGATTAAGATAAAAAAGACGTCTTTTTGATGTCAAAAAAAGATGTCTTTTAAATTTGCATAATCGATTAAAAATAGACATCTTAAAGATATCATAAATAAGACTTTTAAAGACGTCTTTTCGATGTCTTTTTTCCCACTGGGTTGCTTTAAAATAGGAATGAGTTGACATAAACCATTTTGAATACCAAAATGGTAGTATTTACCAGGAAAAACATCATGTAAGTTAGGAGAAATTGCATTTTTAGAGATATTAAACACTGTTCGTGGAACTCTCGGTAATTCAGGGTGATGAATAATCATTTTTTCTAAAAGAACTTTCATATTGGCATAGCTTTGACCTGTTTTGATTCCAAAATCTTTTAAAGATTTGCTCACACTAGTAACATTATCATTTTCACCATCAGTAGATACATCGATATCAGATACTGATGATTATGACTTTGTCAGCTGATTGATACTTGTATCTGATATATTACCTTTCTAATTATAATTAACAATACCTTTTTTGGAATAGTCAATAGATGTTGCTTCAATTTGGTCTTCCTCCAACAAATTGTCGCTGCTAGAAATAATTTCATTCATTAAACGAGTCATATATATATATATATATATATATTATATATATATATATATATATATATATATATATATATATATATATATATATATATATATATATATATATATATATATATATATATATATATATATATATATATCAAACCTAAAAAGTAAACAAAAATTTAAAACTCTTGCAACATTGACTCAAACTGGACTCGAAAACCAGTTGCTTTAAGGGAATGCATGCATCCATGAAAGCCTCAGGGAAGAATGAGCAAAGATTATATTAGAGTAAGAGCTAATTAAAAATTATTACAAGATGTTTGTCCAGTAGGGGTGTTGAAAAACAAAATTTTTAACACGAATACACAAGAAGCCAAATTTGGAGCAAATATAAAAAAAATACGATTACAAAAAAAAATTCCATAAATATTGTTGGCATTTACCGTGTGCTCAAGCGGCAAAATACCTCAAAAAACGCCCCAAATTGTTCCTAAATTATTTGCCTTTGAGCGCAAGGTAAATCTCAATATTTTGTAAAAATTTTTTTTTAGATTGTTGTGTATTCTGGTTTCTTCATAATTGTTATTTAAAATAAAAAAAAATTTTGCAAAATTTGTTAAAAAAAAAAAAACTTTTTTGCTTTTTTTGCGCATAAATATTTTTTTCCTAAATCTTTTTTTAATTTTTAATTTAAACAACAATTATGAAAAAAACCCGGAATACACAAAAATCTAAAAAAATATATATAGGCCATTATCACATTAGAAAATTTTTTTTTCAGAAAATATTGAGATGTACCTTGGTCCCCCGCATTTTGCTATACGCTTTTTTTAGTACCTTCCACCTCAATAAAAGAACATACGCTTTTAACCTAGATAAGTTAAAACATTTTATGAATTTTTTTTTAATTTAGTGCCTTATTTCTTTTATAATTCACCCCTGCCCACCACCTTATTTACGACATTTGCAGACTCCCTCTACCGCATCCGAGCGTACGTGCTTTACGGACAATTTCTAATGTAGTAGATCAGAATGGAGGGGGCAGGTAGAACTTAAGCGCATTGAGCCGCATATAAAAAAGTAATGGAAACGGGTGATCTTAAGTTAACAAACTATAAATAATGCTAAAAAATGGGGGATAAAAAACTCAAAAACTAGAATAGTTATTTGGAAAATGTGTAAACGACATGGGAAAATTAAAGCTTAAAAAATATGCATTTATGTGCCAATGCCTAACTTAGAAAATATATTTGAAATTAATGCAAATAAATAAACATAATGAGACAACAATTCATAATAAATTCTGAAAAAATAAAGAAACAATTGATAAACAAAATCAAAGTAACAAAAAAACAAAATAAAAAAGGTATATTATAACATCCATC